TCAGAGAAGCGCTGGTGCCTAATTCTACCACCCGGAAATGCTCTTGCACGTGGTCTACACATGCTGACATACTAGGATGTATCCAGAAGCTTCACGACTCTCATCTTTCGCTGGCTGAAGGGAGACACCATCATCGGCAGAACGTCCAGCGGCCAGAAGTTTCTTGCTGTGCCGAGCCTGTTGCCTAGGTTTCCGCGCGTCAGCGGGCACTTTGATGTCCTGAGCACAGCGCACCAGATGCCAAGCACGGTCCTGCTCTAAAGCACGGGCAAGCTCAGACTTACTGACAAATGAAAACTGGATGCGACCGCCCGCGCAGCGCGAGCTATTGGCTTATCCGCCCTGGCCACTCCCCTGAGAAGGACCCCTGGGCTCCCTCGTGCAAAGTCACCTGCCGCGATCCGTTTTGCGCGGCGAAGAAGAGAGTGCGCGGCCTTCCGCGCTGCGTCCATGGTTTGGGAAGGGGCGGGCATAACTCCCCCTCGAGATAGCTCAGCCTTGTCCTCCTGATCTCCTAGCTGAACCTGCTGTTCCTGCTCCTCCCGCGCTTCTGGGCGGGTCGTAGCGCCGCGCAACTTCCTCAGAGCACGGACGGCGCCCCGACGCCAATTAGTCAAGGAGAGGGCGGGGGGGGAGACAAAGGGTTTAGAGGGGGCCTTGAGGGCGCACCCAAAGCTCCCACTAGCTCCCTGCAGAACTCGAGACGAGAAGAGCTCCAAATGGTCGTTCGTATCGGTCTCCCAGGGGGCCGCAGAAGCATCCGGAACCAAGGATTGGAAAGAAACGTAACTTGTCGTCGTCGTTGTCTAGCCGACGGGGATCAAGCTTGGGGCGACGACCTATCTTGACCTCGATGGTTTCACGCGCCCGGGGACAACGCGCTTGTCCGCTCAGTTGGCTGGGCAGATTGCAGGCAGAGGGCGCCGGGGCCTGGGCGCGCTCCTGTTTGCGAGGCGAGCTGGCCGCATCTGGATCCTGCATCGGCTGGGTCGAGCCCTTCCTCGAGACCACGCCTGTCGCCGCAGCTGCAGCGTGAGCTGTCTCGATCTGGCGCGCCGCCTCGGCGACCTGGCTGGCGGAGAGCTGGGGCGGCTGGCAATCTTGGATGTCGATGGTCTCCGTAACTGACTTGCTTGGGCCCTCTGACGCAGGGCCTTCCTTCGCTGTGAATGGGATGAACGGCTGGGTCGGGGAGATGCCCTCGCGCGAGCGAGGGTGCGGTGCCTGCGACTGCGGGAGCTCCGAACCGTGAACCCCTTCTTCCTCCTCCTTCATGATCTCCTGCTTTAGCTCCTCGAGGGGTCTTCCTCGACGTTGGACATGGCATGCGCGCGCGGCGGCGGCGAGCGCGGCCCGAACTGACGCGGCGGCGTCGGTTGATCTGGCTGGGCGGGCGGCGGAGTCAGAGCGGCTGGGCAGCGTGCGTGGGGCGGCGGCGTGAGCTCCACATGCCGTGAACCAGCCTCTGGGGCGGGCGCGAGCGGGCCCGCGGGGCTCGTCGCTGGGTCGGCCACGGGCTGTAACCAAGGGGGCTGCGGGGCCGTCAGCGCAGACCCGGCGCCGGGCGCCAGCCCCGCGGCCCCCGCGCCCAGCGACGCCGCGGCAGCATGCTGCGCGCCCTGGACGGCCTGGCCGAGCTGAGCAATAACTGCGTGCTGCTGGGCTGCCTGACTGGACATTTTCCTCGTACACAAAAAAAACAGCAGCATCTGATCGGGCTGGTCCGATGGGGGAGCTGCTGCTGGCGCGGCCGCCAGGGGCGAGCCAGCGACAGCTGGCGGCGGCCTCGGCGGCCGCTAAGCCCCCATGCCCATCCTCTCGGCACCACCTTTGCAACAACCTGGCTGCGCGCGCTGCGTTGGCTGCGTGGGTGGCTGGGGGGGCGAAGGCAACGGCTGACCAGCAGACGTACCTGAGACAGGACCTGTGACCATGGGCACGCCCTGGCCATGATGATTAAAGGCTGGCTGTGGCTGGAAAGACGCACCAACGCCAACCCAATCACCCTCGACTTGGATATCATCAGTCTCATACTGTTCAAGCTCCTTGACCTCAACGATCATGTTCTGAATAGCTTCGAGCCCGTTCGAAATCATCCGCTCATCATCTTGCGACATAGCGATGCGCTCCTGTGTGGGGCGGAAGCTGTCAAGTGCAGAGTCCTTCATTCTGCGCAGCTGTGACACATGAGTTGCAACTTTATCAGTCGATTGCACAATGAACTTGGACGCACAAACTCTGAACTTATGACATCGTTGGCTTTGTCGGCTTCGCGTGCCGCGATGGCCAACGGTTCTCAGATGTCCATAGGTTTATAGGTTGTCGTTTTTAACTCCTTGATTGCTGTCGTGTCAACAGGGGGTTCTTCATATACTGATGCCCGAAGCATTTGCAAACATTGGCTCCTTGTGATCGGGAAAATCCGCGTGATGAATGACCGGATCTGCTCGGTGAGCTGGCCACCATCCTTTTCCCTTTCCCCGCACGTCCTTGACTTGGGGCTGTGGGCCGAGGAGCATCTTGCATGGGGCGACCGTGCACATTCTGGAACATGCCTGTCTGAGAGTACTTGTTATCAAAATGCGTGCCACGTAAACATTTGCAATGCTGACCTTCGAAACCAGATGGCAACCCTCACAATTCCAAACGTGCCCTGGCTTCGGTCCAGAAGTTCGTGAATGATGGAACATGTTGATTCTGGCTGGGCTGAGTGATGCGAACGCAATAGCTGGGCCGCACGATGCACACGTAGTAGAACCCCTGCTCGAACTCGGCACTGTCTTTTGCGCCTGTGCCACGCAGGCTCTGGTCGTGCACGCTTTCCCGCCGTGCTGGGAGTCAGCTGCAGCACAGATAGAGAGGATGAAATATTTAAAGTGCTCGGGATGCCAAAAGTATGTGTCTGAATGAAACGCGGCCAACACACCACGCGTGAGGATCGGGCTGCACCTGGCACAATCACATCATATTGGGGGTCGGTAGACGCCAGGCTCTGGAGTCCAAAGCCTTCTCCTCCTCCTCCTCCTCCTCATCATCCTCGCCAGTTCCCGCACAATCCCCTCGCACTCGTGCTCGAGGAGTCGGGAGCCAGGATCGACGCTCTGGGATCCAGGGTCGAAGGCCTGGGATCCAAAATCGAGAACCTGGGATCAAAAAGCGAGCACCGGGCATCTAGGTTTGAGGCTCGAGGGTTCGGGAGCGAGGATCGGGGCTGGAGGATTTAGGGCCATTTGGGCGATTCCTCATGCTCTAGAACCGCCGCCGCCGCCGCAGCCGTCGCCGTCGTCGTCGGGAACTAGTGATGGCCAGCTTTCCCAGTTTTCGGGCCCCTCGGTGGCCGTTTCGGGACCTAGGGACGCTAGAAAACATCCTGTTTGAAAAGTCTGTCCTGAGGCGGAGGGCGAGATCTCTGAAGGTTCACGTCACGACAACATCGCTTCGCCGTCTTCGAATAACCTCGACGGCAAGCTCGATCCTTTGCTGAGCCTTTGAGAACACGCGGTGGGGCCCTGGGGACATGAGCAAATAGCCGGCGATGGAAAGTCGGTCCTGAGGAAGGGGGGCCCCGAAGGCCGCCGCAGGGGACGACGGAGAAGAGCCCCCACAGGAGCGCCCGGAAGATGATTCGGGCTTGGCACTGGGCCACCAGGGGGTCCCTGAGGCCTCTGGGAGCCCTGAAGCGACCCACGAGCTGGGCGCTGCGCAGTCATCGGGTGTTCGCTTACAAGCTGGACAGGCCCAAGACAGCACCAGCGTGCCCGTGGTCAGTGGCGAGGCTCGGTTACGCATTGCAGCGCAGCAGTGCCTTCTCTGAGTTTTTAATAATCGTTGGGCGCACCCCCCCACGGACAGCCAGCCCGAAATCGACCCCCGTCGGGAGCTGATCTCCTCCTCCTCCTCCTCCTCCTCCTCCTCCTCCTCCTCCTCCGTCGTTACTTTTGCGCATTCCCCGTTTAGGCTCGCCTAAGGGGTTCTTACTTGGTTAATAGTTGGTGCCTCTTAGTGTTAGTTTGCCCATTCCTCGGAGGCTCCTCTGGTTCCTCGGGTTACCGGGGTTCCTCGGGTGCTTGGCATTGCTTGGCAATGCCAAGCAATGCAAACCCATGCCAAGCAATGCCAAGCAATGCCAAGCAATGCCAAGCAATGCCGAGCAATGACAATCCATGCCAAGCAATGCCAACACATGCCAAGCAATGCCGAGCAATGCCGAGCGATGCCAAGCAATGGCAACCCGTGCAAACCAATGCCAAGCAATGCGCCCGGCGATGCGGCCATGCAAGAAGCTTTCCCCTAACTGGGGTCGCGCCAGGTTCATAGACAATTCATCCCGGTCGAACCACCAGACGTGTCCTTAGACTGGCCTGGGCAATTGGCTGGAGACTCGCTTGCAGCGCAGTATCCTGATATCAGAATTCCCAACAGTTGCACGGATGGAGGCTGGCACCTCTTAACAATGGGGCTCTCGCCTCAGCGCCGCGCACATGGGTCTCAAGCACTTGCAACAACTACACGGATGGAGGTGGGTTGGCTTTCTCAAAATGGGGCTCTCGCCTGCGACGTCCTCAGAAACACTACCACGATTGTTAACTTGTGCAATTGTTACACGGGTGGATGGTGATTCATTTCTTGGATGGAGCTCTCGCTTGTGACTTCGTGCAACTCCTTTTCAAAAGAAAGCTCTTGCATGAATTCCAGGCCCATCGGGCACCACTCGTCGTTAAGAGGGCGCTTTTCGCGATCGTTGAAACATCTTGGGCTTGCTCTGGTCCTCTTCCTCCCACGACGACGACCGCCGACAACGATCGACGACCGACTGACGACCGACTGACGATCGACAGACGACGACGACGAAAACGACGACGATGACGACGACGACGACGACGGCACCAACCGACCGACCTACCGATCACGACGACGACGATGACACCTACCGACCGACCGACCAACCGACCAGCGCCGACGTCAACGTCGACGACGACAGGGCGACGACGAAGCTGCGCCTCGGCCGCGCACCTCTGAGCCACCATCGCCCCGAACGTGATGCCAGCGGACTTGTGGCGGCTGGGAGCGGGGTGTTATGCTGCGAGCGTTGGGCCCGACCAGCACTCGAGGGAAGGTCGCGGTGCGAACCCGCGCCTGCTAAGGTGACTCGCCTCCACGTTGTGAGTCCTCCTCCTCCTCCTCCTCCTCCTCCTCCTCCTCCAACTCCTCCTCCAACTCCTCCTCCTCCTCCTTCCTCCTCCTCCTCCTCCTACTTTTCATCCTTCTCCTCCGCATCTCCCTCCCTCCCATTTCGTCTCTCTGCCTCTGTCTCCGGATCTGGTTCTGCCTCTGTCTCCCTCCCTCTTTCTCCCTTTCTCTCTCCCTCCCTCCCCCTCTCTCTCTCTTATCATGCACACCTCCCCGAGGAAGTAAAACTCAAAGGCGATTCGCTCTGAAGCCGCGTGTCTTAGTTTGGCTGTCTCGCTCGGGACATCCTCAACATTCTGAAAGTCGTACGCACCGAGACCGTACATCGCGACGCCATGTTCCAAAAGCACAGCCTCATTGTTCAACCAAATTAACATAACATTTTCAAGGCACACTATGTAATCCACCGTCGCCTGAAACATCCTCCAAACACCGAACCCCATGTCAACGCGATTCTTCGAAAACTGTGGCTTCGCACAAGGCCCACTTCCAAAATCGAGCCCCGACGTGCAATACATACAGAGCATATACAGAACGCACACAACACAAAACACTCACAACACGCATGCGCACACCACTCAGAACACACGCACACATACATCACGTACAACACATATAGAATAGAACGCGCACAAAAATTAACACACGCAGATGCATGTGTTCACACGCACACACACAATCACAACACACAGCAAACACACACACACACCACACACACACAACACACACACAAACCACACACACACACGCAACGCACACGCACGACACACCTGACACACATAAAACACATACCACACGCGACCCGCACATAACTCACACAGAGCACACACACAATGCGCACACAACACACACAGCGCAACGCACAAAACGCAGGCACGCACACACCACACGCAAACACACTTTTTGGCGTCGCGGCCCAGCGCGCAGCGACCGAACGGATAACACAAACACGCACACACACACACGCACGCACGCACGCACGCACGCAGACAGACAGACAGACAGACAGACAGACAGACAGACAGACAGACAGACAGACAGACAGACAGACTGGCAGAAGAGGGGGAGGAGGAGGAGGAGGAGGAGGAGGAGGAGGAGGAGGAGGAGGAGGAGGAGGAAGAGGAGGAGGAGGAGGAGGAGGAGGAGGAGTCCGAGCGCGAAGCCTGGCTGGGGGCCGGCGCAAACCAACAACGCGCTGCGTCGGCCCTCCGAGGACGACCGATGCATGGCGCCTGGGCCACCAAGCATCGGCCATCCCTGGGGGGGGGGGGGGGCGCCAGCCGGGGCCCCTAGAGACTCCGCCACCCGGGAGCGCCGCCACGACCGCGTGTGCGGCGCAGCGGCGCATCTCGAACCTGCCGCCAGCGCCCGCCCGCCGCCGCAGCTCCAGGCGCAAGTCCACGCCAGCCCAAGGCTCCTGGCCGAGGTGCCCAGCAGCGAGCGGGCACCCCCCCCGCCCGCTGCCCAGCCAGCCAGCGTCGTCGGCCGCCGTCGCGGCGGCCGCGCGCCTCGCGGCGCCCCGCGTCGTCGGCGGCTAGCTGCCCGCCGCCTGCCGGCGAGTTGGCCCTCGCGCTAGCGGCCCGGCGCCGCGCCGCCGCCTCTCCCGCGCAGGCCGGCCGCCTCGCGGAGCTGGCGCGCCGTGGCCGCTTGCAGACCGCAGCTCAAGACCTTCTCGGCCCGCGCCAGCTCCCGTGGCTGCCGTTCCTCAGGCAAGCGTCGCACCTGCCCGAGCAGCCAGAGGCGGGCCTCGGCGCCGAGCCGCCTCCCGCCTCGAGGACGAAGGGCGTCGGCCGGGCTCCCGGGTAGCGGGCGCGCTTCCCCGCTCGCCGCGCCGCTGGCCTCGCCGCCCTGGCGCGCCGCCACGCGCAGCTCGACCTGTGTGCCAGCTGCGGGGTGGCGGACAGAGACGTCGAGCCACCGGGTCCCGTCGCCCCCCTGGCACTCCAGGTCCAGGATGGCGCGCTCGAGCTGGCCGCCCCCGCGCTGGCGGCCCCAGGTTGGCACCCTCTGTGCTCGAGGAGAGGCTGCGCGCCGCGCCGGCCGTGGAGGAGCCCGGCAACCCTCTGGGCGAGTCCGCTGCGGCGCCCCGGCGCTCCCACGCCCAGCCGGCAAGTCAGGGCGTGGTAGCCGCGCGTGTCCAGAGCCCCGGCGCAACCAGCTCCGTCGACGCCGCGCAAGCAGCAGGCGGCCCCCGCCCCCGCGAGCTCCTGCCGGCTGGGCCCCGCCCGCGGAAGCTGCAGCCGCCGCCGGGCGCTGGTCTCCCAGTGGGCGCCCTCCAGCGCGCAGAATGCGCCCTCCAGGTCGGTCAGGTAGGCGCCGCTCCTGCTGCCGGCCGCGGCCCGCAGCTCGGCCTGCCCAGAGAGATGCAAGCGTCGCAACAGAGCTGCTCGCTGGTTCCTTTGCATCTTCTCTGTAGCTGCGCCTTGCTTGCGGGGCGTCTGCAGCGCAATCGCCAAGCCCCCGCCCGCGGCGAGCTCCAGCCCTTGGCCCGGCAGCCCGCGCCGCGCAATGGCCAGCTGCTGCGCCGCCCGGCTGCGTCGCCGAGGTCCCGCCCGAGCAGGTCCTGCCAGCAGCCCGCGAGCAGGTCGTGGCACTGCTGCGTCGCGGCGTCCGTGGCGAGCTCCACTCGCAAGGGGCGCTGGCTTGCCAGGCCCGCGCAGGCGTGGAAGGGGGCCGCCGCCGCGTGTTTTTTTTTAGCACTGCCTTGCGCAGCTTCTTCAGCTCTTGGTAGAGCGTCTGCAGCTTCCCCCCTGCTTCAGCGTGGCTGTTCGCCAGCTCCCCAAGGGCGGCTGGCGCGCTGCTGTCGGCGTCGCCCGGCGGTCTCGAGGCGCTCGCCGTGCGCGGGCAAGCTGGGGGCCCAGCGCGCCCACAGCTCTTCCCAAAGCACGGCCCGCCCAGCTGGGGACCAAGCAGCTGTTTCCGTGGCGCCCAGCTGCAGCCCGAGGGGCTCGAGCACCTGTTGCAGGGCCTGCGCTGCGAGAGCAGCCCGCGCGGAATCCACCACCAGGTAGGAGTCGCCCAGATAGCTGCACAGCTTCGCCTGCGGGCCCAAGCGGAGCACCTCCGCGTGAAATCTGTCCAAGGCAGCCCTCTGCGCCACAGAGAATGCCGCGGGCGAGAAGGGGCCCCCGAATCCCCTCCCGCTTTGGAGCGAATGGAAACGACCCCCCGCGTCGCGCCAGAGGTGTCTCGCCGGCTGTCCGCGCCAGGCTAGCGGGGCCGCTGGCCACCTCGTCTCGCTCTGCCATGGCCGCCACGGCTGGCGCCCGTTCTAGGGGGGGAAATGCGGCCAAATCCAGCTTCAAGAAAACTGCCGCGGGCCTGGTTTCCGCCTGGGCCTCCAGCTTTCGCCGCGGGAGCTCGGTGCCACCGGGCCCCCCGACCCCGTGCTGCCTGTCCCCAGCTGCAGCCCGAAGTCGTTCCTTCCTGAACCTCGCCAGTGCTCGCAGTCCCAGGCGGCGCACCGCGGGGCCCACGATGAGCGGCCGCGCGCCGTCGCCATCGTTGCGGAGCGCCCCGACCTCCCTGGCGCGGAGCACGGACAGGGCCTCGCCAGGCAGCATGCCGAAGGCGATCCATGAGATATCTTCGGGAAGCCATTCTAACGTCTCGGCGCGCAGCTTCGCGTCTCCGAAGTGGCCCAAACGGCAGCCGAGCAGCAAGGGCGCCGAGAAGCGGGGCGATCTCCTCCTGGAGCGCTCTCGAAGATCTCCGCCGGGGGCAGCGGGGCGCCCTCCGGCGGCCGGCAGCGAGGTCTTCTGCCCCCGCCAGACGGGCGTCCAGAGCGCGCCCCAGGGCCCCCCAGAACCGCGCGAGGCGCTCCTCCAGCAACTGCGCGCGCGCCGCGGCCTCGTCGCCGGCGTTTCGGAGGAGGTCCAGCACCAGAAACAACTTCCACTCGTTCTTCGCCTCCCCGCGTTCCCAAGTGCGTCGAAGGGCTTCCCAAGATTTCCGGCGCACCTGCAGGGCGGCGCCGCGCAGCCTGCCCAGGACCTGCGCGTGCGTCACGGCCCCAATGGTTAACGAGTCATCCCATGGAAAGTCCGCCCACCACTCCCCGCCAGGTAGCTCGCTGTCATTCCAAACAAGGTGCTGGATGAGCTGGTGGTGCTGCTGCGCCGGCGGCCCGCTCCCAGCGGCGGCTCCTGCTCCACCCGGGGCCTCGCGCGCTGCCGTCGGCGCTCGCGCCGCCTCGATGCTCGCGGCGTCGCCTCTCCCACGCGGCCGGAGCTCCGCGCCGAGCGGCAGCCGGACCTGCAGACAGGTAATGCATATCCAGCGTGAACTACGGCGGGCGCCCCACATGCACAAGCGCAGCTCGCCTCTCTCGAAGACGAGGCCACATGACCTGCAGGCGGTTGGTCGTGTAGACGCGCCCTGCGCGTCGACAGCCCATGCCGCTGCCCGAGACTGGGATGCTGGCTGGGCGCTCGCATCCACGCCCATCGCGCCCTCCCGCCCCCGCCGCCCCGGGCCCCGGCGTCGTTGGCCGCGAGCAGCTTTCCCGCCTAAGGCCGCCTGGGACGCGATGACCTCCATGCCTCCCGCGCGGGCTATGGCGCGGCGGCGCGCGAGCCCGGGCCTGGGCGGGCCGGGCTGGTCGCGGGGCCAACGATCGGGCGGCGGGCGCCGATCGGGCCCCGACCGAAGATCGATCTCGCTCGCGTGACCAGACAGACAAACATAAAAACCATCAGAAAGACAGACAGACAGACAGACAGACAGACAGACATACCGACAGACTCTCGGGCTTTCACGTCAGAGGGAGGAGAAGAAGAAGAAACATAAGAAGAGAAGAAGAAGAAGGATACTAAGAATAATGATAAGAATAAGAAGAAGAAGGAGAGCAGCGCCTAGCGAAGGCTGCAATC